CGTCATCTATACTTTTTGCCAGATATATAGGTTGTTCCCAATCTTGAATTGGTTGTGGAAGGTCTGCCTTCATTTGTTCAAAATACCTGAAATGGGCGTGACCATATGGTATTGCTGGTAGACAACTCAAAATAAATCCTGACATCTGTGCAAATTTTCTGAGAGGGATACTTTGATCTTCCTTGAAAATTTTCCTCAATTTTTTGATACCTTTTTTTAATCTAATGAAATTTTCCTCTGGGAGTTCCAGGCATAATTGTTTGCTGTCTATGATGAACCCAAGTTGTTTTTGCCGTGTATACTCAGTTGAAGTCTCAATTTCTCTTTGTTAACTAGAAATCCTGCATTTAATAATAGTTGATGAAATTTCCCAGTACTGGTGTGGCATTCTGTTGTAGTTGGTGCCACTATGAGTGTATTGTCTATGTATGCATGTACTTGTATTCCCTGTTGTCTGGCCACTTTAAGGATTGCTTTCATTATAATTGTAAACAGTCTTGGAGCTTCTCTCAGCCCCATTGGGAGTGCTTTGAAGATATAATGTTTCTCCTCCCATATGAAAGCAAAATATTTCTGATGATCTGGGTGTAACGCTACATTATGAAACCCTTTCTGTAAGTCCAGAGAAGTCATGAGATCTCCCTTTTTAATTCCTTGTGTGACCAAATGTAAATTTTCCATTTTGAAGTGGTTGTATGGTACACTTTCTGAATTCACTGCTTTGCTGTTTAATATCAGGTGGAAAGATCCATTGTGATTTTTAACTGGAAAAATTGGGTTGATCACTAACCCATCATGCCATTTTGTTCTATGGATGATTTTGTATTTTTATAGATCCTGCACAAGTCTGTTTGTTGCTTCTTTTTCCTCAGCACTTTTATTTGGGGGATTGTATGTAGACAGATTTTTATCTGGTATTTTGTCAAAATTAATTTTTGTGCCAAAATCATTTGAAGGATCCATGGATCTTGCGTTATTTCTTCTCTCCAGAATTTTATGTGGTAGCGTAATTGTCCTCCAATGAAATTATTGGGTACCAAACTGACCTTTAGTTTCTTCTGCCCCTCCAGGTACCTCATCCCCTGAAGGGGTTTTGAGGTGTCTCCTCATTCTGACACCAAAATTTGTTTGGTTGGCCCTCCCCTAAAAAACGATTCTGATATTGATTTTGGGGTTGTGGCCATGTATATGGTCTGGATCTGTAACTGTTGTGACCACCATGCACGCTTGGAGATTTTCCTCTCCAACTTTGTTTTGAGGTCTTGGTTTCAGTGCCTGATCCGCTTTTTCCAGTTGCTCAATCTCCTTCACAAGATCCCCATCAGACAGATTGACCCAGCTTTCTCCAAAGGCCTGGGTTGGGATCCTATTGTTCTGGAAGGCTGCATGCACATTTTTGTTTGCATTGCTGTGTACATTCTTTTTCCTTTCTTCCTGGAGCATCATATATGATGCAGCCAGGGCTTTCAGTGTGTTGCCCATTGTATCCTGCAACGCTTCTGGTAGATTTTCATCAATGAACACTTTCACTATTCCACTGTTCACACACATCAGCATATTTTGTATTTTCTGCAGTGTTGCATCCACACTTCTTGATGGTTTTGTAAGTGTGTTCCATAGTGGGTGGTTGATTCTTGGCACTCTTCCCACAATGGTATTTCCCACTGCTGGCAGTATTTTATTATATTCTGCCACAATATCTTTTTTGTTGCAATTGGCCATTGTATTTTTGTAAATTTTCTTGACAACTTGTTTCCCAATTGTTCCCAGTGTACAGATTGGTTCATAATCCTCTGATGCTGGTAAAAATTGGGCCAGTGTGTCGTCACCTGCATGTGCACTGACAGCAACATTCTCCTCATCTTGAGGCAAATTGCACAACAGGGCTTGATCCATAAGCTTTTCCAACGGTTTGCTTAGGATGTGATCCTCTACCATATCTGTATTTGATAGAGATCTTTTATTAAATTTTTGTTATGTTTTGATTTTTTTTTTTAACTTGCCTTGTTCTTGTGTTGTATCATTCAAATTTTTGTCCTCACTGATGTGATGCACTTCTGTAAAAGTTTCACTCATTTTGTTTGACTTTTCCTGCAATCTAGGAGTATAAATTTTTATTATTTGTTATATTTACATCTTTCACAAAAGGTTGGCTTTTTAAGAACACTGGTACACATTTGTACATTGCAGTTTTTTTGTTCTTGCCACCCTCCACAAGGGGTGAGGCCCCGCTCAAGTTGTTGCTCCCGCAAGGTTCAAGTGGGTTCTGAGGCTGGGTGATCCATATGGGGGAAGTGGTTTGGTATTCACAGTGAAGGGAATTTGGTTAGGGTGTAGTAACAAGCATGTCTGCATTCAAGGTGCATATTGCTGGGTTATTTTTCTATAAGTCAAAGAAACATGTTTTTCTGACATGTGCAGAAAAAACTTGATCAGCTTGGATTTAAAGAGAAAACTTGACAAAAGCGTGTTGTATTCCTTCATCCCTCCGTATTTTCTGTCTGTCGTCGACAAAGTTCTTCAAATTCAAGCGATGCAGAAAAGTTTCGTTTTCCTTGTATATACAGCTAGGTGAGCGGAAAGTAATTGCAGTCGGAGAAATGCGAACAAAGAAACGTTCAGTGTGAACTGAAGTTGAGGGCTTGAATCCCTCCTCCTTCCAACAATTGTTGTCAAAGTAGAAAAAAAAGTCTCAGTGACATTCAACTGCCTGGCTGAGAACAAATTGTATCCAAATTATGGCGATTAGATCCATTTATTCGCTGATCGCATTGGGTACTTTAATCTTCAACCATTCCATCACTGCAGGGGATTCACGTGAGTCTCTCTTTTTTTGATCTGAACAGAAATTCATGGGGTAAACAGTATTTGTACTGTACATGAAAAATAATGGCAAGGAACCCTTTGCCATCCAAGGGTTAAAGAATTGGCTACATTAACGGGCCTCTGCATGGAGCATCCTCAATCAGGAATGGGTCTAAACATTGCATGCAAAGTGGAAAACTGGGCTTATCAAGATTTAAAATATTTCTTCAATTTTTTTATTTTACCCAAGGTTTTCAATTTGTAAACAGAAACCTTTTTAATTAATCACCTCCACATCTCCATGAAATTACTGTTTCATTTTCCACAGTACGTGGAATGTGTTCATTATAGGGGAAATTTCCAAACTTGGGCTTATTGGTTTCTGATAGTCATATTCTGTATAATTACTGTCTTGCAGTAAAACAAATCCGATTTATTTGATGGGTGAATGTTCAATGTTGGCATTTGTCTTTTTCCTGCAAATCAATGGGAAATTGTTTCCTATTGCAGCCGTATAAAATGTTTATAAATTTTCAAAATTTGATCTATACCATTCCAGGGCACTCAAAACCTTAGGCATCAGAATGAAAAACAAGCATTATCTTCTACTTAAATCCCTCAACTTTTTTCCCTTTATTTTTGAAGAATTTGACCTAATTTCACAGTGGAAATTCCTTTGGTTACATTATTTTGAAATTGTCATGAAGAGAAACTTCAAGAGTCAGTTGGTTTATTTGAGTCTAGTTAAATTTCTGAAGGAATTCTGAAAATTTTTGAAGGAATCCACGTTTTCCCAAGAGATTCACAAGTGCCTCACTAATTTTAATCATACCTTTATTAATAGCCTACTTTTTAATAGTACTGTATTCTAAAGTCTATATCGGAAGTCGATATCCTTCAGATAATTTGTGGAACCCAAATATTTTGATCACTAATTACAAAAAACACAAACTAGCACTGTAATAATGTATGAATGTTTTTCATACACATTACCAAAAAATCAAAGTTTGTTGAGTCAATCATCATAGATGCAAGGATGTATATTCCATGTCACATGTGCCTTTCCACTGAAAATAATTGCCATGCAACTAGGGGACAAATTCATCAACTTATTCAGGAATTTAAATCTTCAGTGACTTTAAATATTAGCTATATACATCATCATTGTTTACATGCGCAGAATTGAAGGTTTGGTTGAAAGTGTTGCGTGGAATAAAATGTTTTTTTTTTCAATCGCATAAGGTTTTTTCTGATCCCAATTCCCTTGCTTTCATCTCTTCAGAATTTTCATAGGAGAAAATCCTGCCTGAAAAATGCCGCGGCTGGAAAATCACAGGCCTGAGAATCTCGCAGAGGGCACAAAAATCCCACATTATAAGCATTAAATTTTTGGTAACAAACAGTGTACAATAATATAAATGCTATTTATATGTGCATCGTTTGCTCGAAAGAGAAAAGCGAGTCTCCAAACGGGAAATAAAAAAAAAAATGTTTGGCCCCAATCCGTTACAGTCATTCTTAAAGTCACGAATACCTTGCAAAAACATTATTGTTTAATTTAAAACTTTAAAAAATAGAATGATGCAAAATAGGTCGGTAGCATACATTTTTTAACAAATATTACCGTGTAAAAGAATTGAGATGAAATCAAGGTTCATATTGTATGAAAGTTTTCATGGCTTCTGTGTGAATACCCATATGCCTCTTTCATTGATTTGCAGATTGTAACACAATGAATATAATGAATATTTGATATTAAAAGCCAGTAAACGCTGGGTGCTGTTCATGCTGGTACTCAGCAAAATAAATGTCGAAGGGATGCATCGTGCGAATTTTGGCCATCATTCACAGCTTTCAGAGAAAAAAAAAATGGAGTCATCCAGCTCTTCCCAATTGGATAGAATGCAATTACCAGGTCAAGGACTCACAGAGTAGACTGTGTCAGGGTAACAGCAAGACAGAACAAGAGAAAACACGGTCATGCGAATCAAAATGAAAAAGTGACCTTCTTTCCTGTAGATGTTACCCGACCCTGAGTAATCAAACAAGTAAAGAAAACGAAATCTTGGCTTTTTTTAATATGTTTCAGTGTGAGGGAGAATGATTATCCTTGGATTCGATGGAACGAATTAATCGACCTAATTCTTCATCCCTGCTGAAATCAGGTCGAGGCAGGCAAAAAAAATGTTCGTTAAGGAAAGGCAGGCAGAAGTAAAACTCGACAGCTCGGCAGTCTGAATTCTGAATTTCGTTGAGCTTGCTGACTAAGTGCTGTCGAACAAACTTTGTTTTCCCCCCGAGAAGTTCGGCGTGAAATTCAATTTAATTGTCAAGTTAAACAACAAACTACTTATTCGTTCCAAAATGTTCGGATTCTCAAATATCCACTTGTTCATTGCACTTTTAATCCTCGCGGTCTTCAATGATTCCATCATGGTTTCTGCTCGTGAGTTTTTCGTCTTATTTTTTTCACATCAGTTGGCATTAGAAGTTCATATTCACTACTTCAAAACGTTTAATACAGCAAGCAGTCTATAGTTAGTTAGATTAGTGTGGACAAAAGCAGGAGATTTTTTTCTTAATTGAATTTAATCGAGGTAAGAAAGTACAATATAGCAATACTGTAATTTTTTTTCGTTCCAGACCCATCTCGTGCAATCAAAAAAAGACCAAGTGACACCTCGTCAGCATCTCGACAGCGACGATTGACAAGAATGACAACAGAGGACCAGGATGCCGCATTCCTGGCTGTGGTTTCTGCCAATTTTAAAAACGCTGGTCCTGAGCCGGTTTATTCTGGTTCCATCATATCCCCCAAGTAAGAAGTATTCACAAAATTTCCAACAGTTTTTTTAATCATTGGAAGGACTATACCAAGGTTATGTAGTATTTTTACTACTTTCCTCATGTGAAATAATTCGCTTTGTTTCACGTTCAATTTTTTAGTATTTAAATTTCGAATTCATAATGTGGATAAAATAAATCGGGCTTCGTTTTGGGGGGAAGGGGGGTTTCATTTTTCAAAGCAGCAAAAACCATTTATTTTAGAGCTTGAACGGAAATAGTTCTCGAGATAAAAAATGGTCGGAATAATACGCTTACAATTTACTTTCCGGATATATGCATAAACCGCAAAATCGGAGTCGCAAAAATTTTCAAGACAAATCAAGCTGATTAATTGATGTCCACCTCCACTGAGAGGAAAAATTAGTCTAATTTCGGCTAAATTCAAAAGTATCTGAAAAATTTTTTTGAAACCAACTGCAAAACAGAACAAGCCGTAATCTTTTAACCTTTAATGCGGAATTTTGAAGAATGTTCGTGTTTTCATTGGAAATGCCATAATATGGCTCGACTTAGTTTTATCTACATTTTAGAGAAAAAAGGCTGATTGGATGACAAAAAGTTTCTCTGGATTTTCCGAGCAATTATCGTCACATTCATCCGCACATGTTGAGATAATCATTCGGATTCGCTCGAATCTTTGAAAAATGAAAAATACAATCCAAGAATGCAATCCAGCCGCTTCGCAGTTGGATAAGTTTGAGATAATTTCTGCCTTACGAACTCGGCAGAACATTTTTACTCGCATTTACTGGTTCGCGAAATATTTTTTTTATCATTATCCGTGTTCCGTTGGTTTTCGGACATTTGGGATTAAATTTCAATGCACATCACTAAAAGAATGCCTCTTTTTAATACCAAAAAAAATGTCCGGTGTTCTGATATTTAATCTTCTTTTTGCATCTACTAGGGAACTTTCTTTATTTATTGGACTCATTCCGATTTAAACTTGCAATCGGGTCGCATCACAACCATGCATGCATATTTTTTTTTCTGCCCCCGTCAGTTCATTTTTACGAAACAAGCTCACAGTAAATCTGAAATAAATGGCATTCAAAACAATTTACCTCGTCTTTGTTTGAACGACCACTAAAGTTGCTATAATGAAATAAAATCATGAATGTACAAACTCACACACAAACCAATAAAAATTTATATATTTCTAAATTTTTCCTTTCAGATGCGTGCTGACATACTTCGACCAACTGACTCAAAAGTTTTGGGAACCCACTGGTCAGATTGTTGATGGCGCAACTCTTACAGCCGGTGTCCAATCGAGTGCTCGGCCTACTGATATTCAAACCCGGTTTGCGCCCATTGCGAACATCGTGCCATTTCCGGGACAAACGCCGGAAAGCCGAAATGACGTCAACTCTTTGTTCAGAAACAGTATGGCCCTGGTGAAAGTCGAACAGGCATTCATCCTGGGAACAGGTGTAAAGAGCATAAAAATTGCCAGAAACGTCGGCCCCAGTTTGTTGAATGTGAACAATCTGGGTATTTACACCCACGTCATCACGAATGAAGGTGAGTTTGATTATTTCATGCGATGATAAATTTTTATATTTCATGATGGTGACTTCAGAAATCGTTTTTGACATTCATGTTAATCCTGTACTCTATTATTTGATTAATTGAAAATTTTCGATGATATTATGGGTGAAATTCCATCTGATATTCCTGTATATTCAGCGCTGATAAAAAAAATTTAGAAGATAAAATCTGGAGAAAGGAATGCAAAGTTGCGGGAAAAAATAAAAAGCACGAACCACCCATTTATCATACCAACATTCAATTTTTTTTTTCGTGGGATGCTTTTTTCAGATAAGTCCAGAAGAATTCAACTTTGAATTGCATGAGGACTAGATTGACGCTAAAAGTACACAAAAATCATTTCAATAATAATCATTGTACCCATTGAAGCTGGGTAACTTGAGCCTCCCTGAGTTGAATTTTTTCAAGTCTTCTTTCAAAGTTGACATGGGAAATAGAAAGGTCATACAAACATAACTTGATGTGTTTTGAAAGGAAGGGAAGGACTAATTCGCAAATGTATCCTCGAACCCCAATTTAAGCATCTTGTCAACTAATTTAACCCTTGTGCAGTGAAGTTGGGATATTTTTGAAAAATTGTGTGTTACTGAGCAAAGGAAATTTTAAAAATCCTGCCTTTGTTTCAACACATAAGTCAAGAAAAATTCCAATATTTTTTTTTTCCTAAACCTGCAGAAAATTTTGCATGAAAAATAAAAAATAAAATCCCTCACTGGGTGGCATTTTTCCTTGGATTCCTGACATGGTAATCCCATGTCATGAATCCAGAAAGTTTCCTGAANAATATTTTCAGTTGCCAGAAGGATCCGCAGCTGTCCTCCGAGGATCCGACGACACACTCTACTTGACAGCGATGACCAAAGGGGATATTTGCAAAACGAGTCCCACCACTGTTTTCCTTGGATCATCCATGGCATTCTCGGATCACTTGGACACGATTTGCAACGAACCCGATGTCGACTGCGCAGAAGCAAAATACCGATTTGCGAGGAGAAAATTAAATGCTGTACTGTACTGAGAAATTAAGTACGGCAAATGGATCTGGCACAACCAGCGCCACCGCCTTCTTTTCCAGAGCTCAATCTTTAAGACCACATATGATTAAAAAGGATGAATTTCTGGCAGCCATTTTGAAAATTAAATTCATTTTGAAGTTTAAAGACACGAGGGCAGCAGTTGGAAGGATAATAACTTCAGGGGTGCCACTGAGTCTTCGACAGAGGTTAATATGTCTTTAAAATACTCATGTATTCATTCCAAAAGTTTTCAGAGAGGAAAATGCTGCAGAAACTCATTTGGCAACTGAAAAAATCCTTATTTTGACGTTCATTTACCGGATGTTGAACAATTAATGCAGGCAAACAAAAGAATCCGCGGGCCAAGGAATAGTATAGAAACATTAATCCTGGCACTACTATTTGGCCGTTTTGAACTCTTAATTTGTCAGGACTATGAGGGAAAAAAAACTTGTTGTACGTTGTTTTCATGCATTTTTCACTTCAATGCACGTGAAAAGATGGTGGATGAGTTAGCGAAGAGTTTTGGGGCTGATCCAAAACGGTTGTGTGCAAATAAAATCATTACAACTCCAAATTGCTTGTGCATGTCATTTTCCATTGATTCGCTTTGATTCCACATGACTTGCTCCCAAACTATAAATGAAATTATTTCGGAATTAAATAAGCTAATGAACTTATTTCCTTATTTCTGTGGATCCAACTTTGCTCAGCTGCTACCAATTTTTTGTAAGGTTTTAAACTTTAGAATTGAATTATCAAGCCTTACACCTTGATTGTGAAATGATTTACAGCATTGTTTTTAGATTTTGGATAAGGATAATTGAAACATGGCAATTGGCTGGTGCAAAAACCAACCAGGGATTTCTCCCCACTAGCACTGACCTTTCTTTGTACCACAAGTAAAATTCACAGTACACAAATTTGTACAAATGCAAGCACACAAAAACACAAATTGCAGTTTACAAAAATAAGTACAACACAAGTTCAAAGTACCAAAAAGAAGCTCCGGTAATCCAGTGATGGAATTGAACCTCCTTTTATTAGCTCACACAATTTCAATATGTTTTCCCAAGTTTTGTCAATAAATTAAAAACGCTGATGTTGTCAAGTACAATTTAAAAACGCGTATGCTGTTTCAACACAAAGGTTTTGTAGAGTTGAATTTCAATGCAGAGTTCCTGATTTTTTAGCAGCACAAATTTCAGCAGGTCAACCTCTCAATCACAACTGTTTTTTGTTCCCCAATTTTTGGGGCTTATATACCAATTCTGTTCCAGTTTTGGCAGGTTTTTCCAGGTGGCATATCAAAAACACCAGATGGTGGCGTTTGCTGGTTTTGTTGGGAATTTTACAATTTCATGTTTTCCCAAAAACCTGGGGTTCATTTATTACTCAACAAACTTTTCTAAATTATCTGTGCTGAAAAGTGAGCTTGTTGAAGCAATTGGTTTTACTGGGGTACTTAAGTAATTCTTGACTGCTCAAAAAGTCTTGAAATTTGAAGATAAATTGTTTTAACTGAAAGAGGAGACAAAGTTTGGTGCACGTTGCCAGCAGCTGGCCAAGTTTTTTGCACTTTTTGAGGGGTCAATAAATGAGGAATTGGTTTCCCCTGCGGATAAGAGGTGCCAACTTTTGGCAATTGTTTTTGTCCCAGTTCCAGTGGTCATTCCCTTTTCTTCTTGGCATTTTTTTGTTTTGCCAATTCATCACCCTTCTTATTTTTTTAGGCCCCCCAGTTCTGGGGATATTCTTATCTTTCATTTGTTTTGGCGCATCTTGGGATGCACCAATTGAATTCATATTTGGCTTGTTTTGGTGCCCTGTTTCAAAGCAGGGCCACCAGAAAATTCTGCACAACTATCCTTTAATCATAGCTTTATAGCTTACTCTTTAGGAGTACTGTATTTGAAAGTCTGAATTTTATATCTATAAAGTACAATATATATCTTTCAGACAGTTTGTGGAAACCAATTATTTTGTTCAGCAATTACAAGAAGCACAAACTAGCACTGTGTGTGGGAGATTCCAGAGTAAGGGATCCCCAGTTGGATCCTCCTCTTAATATTTGTACAGAAATGAATTAAAGAAAAGACACTAAATTAGAACGAGTCCCTCTTTATGTGTCCTAGGGTGAATGAGAAGAGTAAGCCCTGTGCTATTTATAGTGCAGCCCCTGCTCTGATCAGTCTAGAGTGGCTGTCCAATAGGTCAAACTCCTCTGTAAAGAGGCTTGCACCTTCAAAAGTGTGAGGTAGAGTGCCCTGAATGGAAGGGACTTAACAATCATCTCTAGAGGCAGCCCTAGACAGAACATGCCAAGAATTACCATTGATACTTGTATCTAGTTACTGTCTAAAGAAAATATTTATAGAAAATTGTATTGATGGGGAAAACTGGTTAAAAGAGTTTCTTTTCATGGTACAAAATACTAGAACAATTTGTGTTTTATTTGGAAAAGATTTGATAGAGAGAAAAGAAGTTGCATGTTTTGTACATCAGTTATTTGTTGTATATACCATAAGGTTAGTTGCGGATACTAACTTATTTATTTTAAGATTTGTTTTGATGTGCAAATTTATGTGAAAAATTGAATGTGTTTTATGTATTTTGAGATGAGTTTGTGCCAAATGAAAATTTATTCAGCGCACGTATCCTGGAAATTTGCTCTGAGCGGAAATTTGGTAATTTTGTGGTTTTCCTGGAAGAGTGTACAAATTTGACATGCCTGATTTGTTATGCGTTTTCTGTTGCGCAATTCTGGGTGCTGTGACCTCATGTTAGGCTGCCTGGGAACACTGCACAAACCATTCTCACAGGAGGATTTTAGATTGGAATGCGGATCTGGTCTCCCAAGGTTGGCAAGCCAATCCTCTGCAGAGTGCGCTCTGCTCATTTCTGTTTGAGCGTTCAAAGAGTGCGCATGTCTTTTACTTTGTTAGAATACTTTCAGAGAGGGTTAAATTAATAAGTAAAGATAGAAAAAGACTCAGGCAGAAGGATTTGACTGAGTGTTGAATTATTTGAATGTATTTCCAAAATTGGTTGCATTTTCTGTGTGTGAATCTGAAAGATGTGTTTAAGGATTTGAATTTGGTTCTTGTCTCTTTGATTAGACAGAGACAAGTACATTGTGTTGACGGAATTCTTTGTTATCTGGAGCTCAAATATATTGTTTATAAGTCTTAAAAGGCTTGTGCAATTATTTGTAAACAAAGTTCTGGAAACGAATAAGCAACCTGCACATTTGTGATTGTCCGGCATCATTATCAAAGGCATACCTCGCGGCTTACAACCGCATTTGGCTCTCAACGTATTCAGGCAGTTTGGGTAAACATCAGTGTAAAAAAGAAATCAGAACAACCAAGAGAAACAGAGTCTGTGATCCGTTCATCCAGAGGCCTTTGTGTAAAACAACCTCCCAGACCCAACCAGGCGTCTCAGGTCAAGCGCTCAAGATTTCACAACCGTGATATATCAACGTTCTGTATAAACATCAACTAGAAATCAAATTTTGTTGAGTCAATCATCATGGATGCAAGGATGCATATTCCATGTCACAAGTGCGAATGTGCCTTTCAACTTGAAATAATTGCCATGCAACTAGGGGGAAATTTTATCTACTTCTTGAGAAACCTAAATCTTGAGGCAATTTCAATAATGTACACCATCATTGTTTACATGCGCAGAATTGAAGGTTTGGTTGGAATTTTTGCGTGGAATAGAATGCTATTTTCAATCACATAAAGTTTTTTTCTAATTCCGATTCCCTTGCTTTCATCTCTTCAGAATTTATGTAAGAACAAATTCTGTCTTTAAAAAATGCCGCGACTGGAAAATCACAGGCCTGCGAAGTTTGCAGGGCACAAAAATCCCACATTATATCATTATATATGTATGGTTACAAATATTGTACAGTAATATAAATGCCATATATGCACCGTTTTCTCTAACAAAAAAAGTGAGTCTCGTTACGGGAAAATGAAAAACGTGAAATTCTGTTTGGCTTCAATCCCTTTACAGTGATTTTAACCATTCACGAATACCTTGCAGAAACATTGTTGTTTCATTTAAAACTTTAAAAAATAGAATGCATGCAAAATAGTTAGCATAAATTTTTTGACAAATATTACCGTGTAAAAGAATTGAGATGAAATCAAGGTTCACATTGTATGAAAGTTTTCATGGCTTCTGTGTGAATACCCATGCATATGCCTCTTTCATTGATTTGTAGATTGTAACACAATGAATATAATGAGTATTTGATATTAAAAGCCAGTAAAGTCTGGGTGCTGTTCATGCAACCTGCTAGTACTCAGCAAAATTAATTTCGACGGGATGCATCGTGCGAAGTTCGGCCACCATTCACAGCTTTCAGCGACAAAAAAAAAAAAAAAAAAAAAAAAAAATGGAGGAAAAATCAAAGAAAACAACTACACGCACCAATTTTTATTCTTCGTGCCTGTACAGAACCCAACAGGTAGGAAATTAATTCTCGCCCCCGTCTTGTCAGCGCCCTCGGCGAATCAAAACCCGCATGAAATGCGCCGGGAAATCAAGAATTTTCCTATCCAAATAATTATTCCCAACTCCTCAGCGTTTCCCGTCGGCTTAATTTCACACGATTCGACTCGTGAACCTCTATTATTGTTAAAAAGTAATAAAAATAAAAATATTATTGCCGTCTTGTATTCTTCTGCTGCTGAGGGTTTTCCCATATAGTTTTTTTTTAATTTTGGAATTCCAGCGAGGGGCATCAGTAGTTGGAAGGAAATGGGCCAGAGTCGTCATCGCCGATGAGGGGTAATTAAAAAGCTTCGCGCGATATTCCTGGCATTGCTGTGCTCCATTTTTTTTTTTTTTTTTTTTTTTTTTTTTTTCAATTTTTTTTGCGTTTTTTGTTTTTTTCCTTTTTTTTTTTTTTTTTTTTTTTTTACTTCACTGCCTGCAATTTTGTATGCGTTTTTTGCTTTTCAATTTACCGTTGACCTCCCAGGAA